ACAGATCAGAAAAGGAGGATTCTAAAAGGTTAGTTAAGTGTAAAGTGGTCATTCAAATCTGAGTTTAATGAGTTCTTTAAATACATTAAACTTGTGTTCTTTACATACATTAAACTTGTGTTCTTTACATACATCAAATTTCCTACTCGGGGAAATGGAGAAAGCAGGAATTCACTGTGAGGGGTAACAAGATCTTTTCTTCCAGATCTTTTAAAAATTAAAAGAGATTCTTATTAAACTAGTATATTTCATCAAATCCATCTACCTAAAAGCAACCAGTGTTCAAATTCTCTCCTGGTCCTAAGCAGTCATGACTGCCCAGATCCTGCAAATGCCAGCACCAGTGCCAAGGAGCACACAGTATTTTTCAGGAAAATATTTTTGTTCCTATTTCCCTATTCTATGATAAAATACATATTCACTTTCCTAAAACACATACAAATTTTGGACCAAACTTAAAATTAAAGTAATTGCATATATAACTAGCAGTCAAACAACCTGGGCCTGAGGCCTTGTTTCATAGCATGAACAATTGTAAGACACCAAGTAAGAGGATCCTGCAATGGGTTTGTGGGATTTGGGCTACACTCACTGTCTTCAAAGAAGGAGTAATTATCTTATCTTCATGGATAAGAAAGCCTGTGATGCCCTGGAAGCAGAAAGTTGCATTCAGACAACTTAACAACCCGCCCATCCGCTCTGTGACTCAGTTGAATATGGGAAAGCCCCACCACATCAAAGAGCACAATCTCCAATGAGTGTCAGGGTCCAGCACTCTTGGGTTGCTTTCTGCTGACAGAGCTGAGTGAATGAGGATGATCATGATTTTCACTCACCCCAGGAACATTTCTTGAACAGCACGGCTAGAAAGTTTGCCTATGCTCTTTTTCTGAGGAAGGGAACAGCTCAATGAAGGCTGCTGAGGGATCGTTGGCAGCAAGGCAGCCTGAACAGACTCGGCAGTGTTTCAGGGCAGCTGCCCCTGCAAAGCCAAGCAAAGCCTGAGCCATCGCCCGGAACAAAGGGTTCCGTCCAGAGGCACTGCCTGCTGAAGAGTCCAGTGGCAGGGTGAGTGGTCAGGGCTGAGGTAGGTAGTCCGAACTCAGACCCCACTCAGAGGCAGACTGTTTGCCCAGTGTGTGCAAGGCCCTGGGCTCTATCTTCAGCACTGCCAAAACCAAACCAAAACAAAACAGACAAAAACCAGCAAGCAACTCTGGCTCTGTGTGTCTTGGCCTCTCACCTGCGAAACAGAAACAGCCTTGAAGTGGCCAGACAGGAAGCACACATGATGATGGAATTCACTTACAGCTGTGACAGGAGCTAAGCTGGGTCTCCTCATCCAATGGCTCCCTCCTCTTGCCAACACTCTGCCTGCATGAGCCCCAGAAACTCCCTCCGACTCCATGATTCCCAAGAGGAAAAGCTGTTTGATTGAGTATTTAACCCAAGGGTGGAATGTTATCACGGAGTACAAACTTAGCCCCTGGACCTGCCCTTAAAATGTGGAACGTCTGGGGGTTTGCCCCACTTGTGAGCTAACAAGGGACCTGTGATAGTTTGATGTAGAAAACATACTGGCAGTTTGATACTGGCAGAAAACATAACATTTTTTTTTTGAGGTACTAAGGATTGAACCTGAACCCAGGACCTTCACACTTAGCTACATGCCTAGCACTTCTTAAAGATTTTACTTATTTAGTTTTAAATTTTTTTTTTTTTTTGAGATGGGCCCTTGCTAAGTTGCCAAGGCTGCGCTCACCCTGGTGATCCCCTGCCTCGGCTCCCAGAGTGCTGGGATTATAGGTGTGTGCCACTATGCTGACAAGACACTGATTCTTAAGTCTGAGACAAAGCACTTTCTACCCACAGCCATGCCAGAGTTATCACAGAGCACGTGTGCTGGTTCAACACCCAGTGCCACAGATCCACAGAGGCTAGGGACTGCTTCACAGCAGAGGATGCCACAGCCAGGGCAGCCAAATCCCTTAGCATGAGTGGACAGTCTGCTGGCCTGACCTAGAAGGCCTGCCCTGTGCCCTAGGAGGAAACATTATCTCATAGCTCAGTGCAAAGGCCCTGGATTCAAGCCCCACGATGACAAGAAAAGAAAAAAAAAGTTTCTAAAATCCATATTTTGCCCTGGAGGAAGACAGTAATTCTACCCACTCAATGTTTACTCTACATACATTCCTGAAAAGATAGCTGGAAACCAAGGAGGGCTGTCTGTCAGCTTGAGGAACATGAAGACATGGGAGAGACCTCTGTGTCTTTATGACATCTGAAAAAGCGAGGATGTGTCCGCTGGTCTTTGGGTTGGAAGACTCAATGTGGTTTAAATTTCACTTCTCCCGTAACTGAACTGTTGATTCAACACAATACCAATAAGAACTCCAATGGGAGAGTTTTGGTAGAAAGTGAGGAGTTAATTGTCAAATTCATATGAAAAGAGAAAGGGCTTAAAAATAGCCAAAACTTAACTTGGATAAAAATGAACAAATCTGCCTCTTTAGAACCAGATTCAAGTAAACCAAATGTAAAAATCAATAAATAGAAGAGTAGCCCAATAAAAAATTAACAAATCTGGAGAAGTCATGCTTCCTGACTTAAGGTTTATTACAAAGCCATCAAGACTTATTGTACAAAATTGGATCAGCAGAACGGAATAGGCCCCCAAAATATCCGCTGATGCTCAACACGGAAGTAAAGACAGTTCATGAGAGAGGAGTTTCAAACCAGTGGTGCTGAGCAAGCAGAAGCTTTATGCCAAAGAAGCCAAAAGACACCTCTCACCACTAGCCAATGTCAAATCAGAGGGATCGTGTACCTAACTGTAAAATGAAAAACTATTAATCTGTCAGGAGAAAACACATCAGAAGACCTGAGACTTTGATTTGGGCAAGGATTTCTACACCAAAAACATGACTTGTACAAGAAAAAGTGATAAACTTTACCAAAAATCAAGATCTGCTTTTCAAAAGATGTTCTTAAGAAAACGAAAGACAAGCCACAAAGTGGGGGAGGGTAATTCTTCCCATGCACCTGATAATGGACTCATGCACAGAGCACAAGAACCGTGGGTGGTCCATAACAAGAAGTAACTCAATACTGCTGAAGTAGCAAACAGTAAGAACAACACATCATCAAACACCGGGAGGGCAGAGAGCCACACGACAGCTGCCCAGCACCATCAATGACACGAAGGCACAAACTGAACAATGGTGCGGTGCCCTCCTTCTTTACTGGAATGTCTACGACCAAACACAACAACCAGAGCAAGCGCTGGCGAGGATATGCCGTGACTCGACGCTAATGCACACTTGAGCCCAACCTGCAGCTTAACAAGACGCTGTCTCAAACCAGAATAAAAAGGGCTGGAAGTGGAGCTCAGTGGTAGAGGGCTTGCCTAGCACATGGGAGGCCCTGGGCTCCATATGCAGCATCACTCCTAGGCCATTCCACTCCTCAGTATTTGCCCAAGACAAATGAAAGCACATGTTCATACTGAGACCTGCACAAGAATGCTCCAAGCAGCTGTATCTGTGACTGTCCCTTGCTAGAGACAACTTAAATGCCCAGCAATGGCAGCTGAATAAATATACATCAATCGGGCTCCATCACATGGTGAAATACTATTTAACAATAAGAAGTAATGAACTCTCGATAAACACACCACCACCGGTGGATATCAGAATAATTACACTGAGGGAAAGAAGCTAGGCAACAAAGAATACCAACTATATAGCTTTATTTATTTAAAACTGTAAAAAATAAAAACTAAACTACAGTGCAGAATGGCGGTAAGTGGCTCTCTAGAAAGCAGGAAGCAGAGGGCAAAAAGGGAGGGCCAGAGAGGATACAAAATAACTTTCTGGGGTGCTGGGTTTGTTCATTACCTTGACTCTTGTAATGATTTTACAGGTAGATATTTATATCAAAACTTACCAAATGTTCATTTTTAAATATAAGGTAGTAGAAAAATAAGCATTCAGTAGAATTGAAGCTTAAAAAAGGATCTGGCATTATGAAAGCACAAGGAAAGTCAATGTTTTTGCATACTTAAAGAAAATGTACAAGATATCCATTAAATACAGTGTTAAAATTATAGTGAAACTGTAATAAAACTTTAGGTTAACTGGTAGTAAGGGCATGGGAAAAGAAGCCATAAGAAGTAGATTTTTATTTTCAAGACTTTTTTTTGTGGTGCTGGGGACCGATCCAGGGCTCACTCATACGTGGGCAAGTGCTCTACCCCAGAGCCAGCCCCTTAGCCCTAAAGAAGATTTCAGTGCATATGTACACACACACACACATGGAAAGCACCGGAGCTGTAACGGCACTCCGATTTCACCCAAATCCTTCACAAAAGGACCCCTTCCACATACTCCAGACACAGCACTGTTCTGTTCAAAGAATGTGCAGGCTGATGATGGTTTATAAAATAATCTTCTTTCCATCATACTCACCAGCAAACCACGACTAAGGTGAAAGCAATACCTGAGAAACACTCAGGGTCTACTTAGCATACCAATGAATTTCCTGAAGTCAGGAATTTTTTTTTTTTTTTTGGTACCGGGGATCGAACTCGGGACCTCGCGATTTCAAGGCAGGTGGCCGAACCACTGAGCTAAATCCCCAGTCCTGAAGTTGCTTTTAAATAACTAATATATAACATTCCCCTCCCTTCCCTCTTCCCTCCTCCTTCTCCCCCCACCCCTTCTTATGGGAATTAAACTCAGAGCCCTTGCACTTGGCTGTATCTCCGGCCCTTTTTATTTTGAGATAAGACCTGGCTAAGTTTCCCAGGCGGGTCTCAAACTTGCAATCCTCCTGCCTCAGCCTCCCAAGTAACTAGGATTACAGCTACCACCATGTGCCACAATGCCTAGCAGAAATAACATCGAGATTATCGCTCCTGATTTTTAATCCATTAACACTTCCTCCTGCTGCAGAAGCACAGCACACAACTGTGCAAGAAGTATGCAGATAACACCGCTTACCACTCAAAAGCCACCACAGCAAAGGGATGAATCCAGGGCTCTCACTGATGTATTTTAAGCCTTTCAAATTGATGCTCACATTGTACAGGGACATCAGCATTAACCTGAAATGCAAAACAAAATGGTGTTGACGTGCTGACCCTTCCTAACTCCATCTCCTTCTCCAGAGGACCTGAAGGCTTCTAGAGGCTTCCTCCCACCTCAGATGTCCAAAGGAAGAGGGCGTACAGTAAGTGGAAGCCATGTGCAGTGATCTTTGTCCACATGAAGCCACAGAGTATGGGAAACTTCAGCAATGACATCACAGACCCCCTTTTACGGACTCACATAACGAGGACATGCAGGCAGCGAGGGTCCCAGGGAAACGGCACACACTGCTCACCTCCTTGGTACCAGGCCTGCATATGTACAGGAGTTCCTCTGCTCCTAAGTGTACCACACTCTCTGAGTTCAACACAGCCATCTGATGTCTAATGGTACCTTTTATTCAGTGAGCGTGACACGTGACATCAGGCAGCCAGGTCCAGCCTTACAAGGTTACTTAATCCACAACACGAGGGGTATGGACGATCATGACCCCCACCACCCCAAACAGCCAACAAAGCTGTCTCCTTAGTGACACAGGAGTGTGCAGTGTCTCAGGAACTGAATCACAACTCGAAACAGTATCCAATAGAAGCCAGAAACTACAGGACTCTGGCTTCTGAAAATGCTGCAGAATACCAAGACTTCAGTACCAAAGAGCCCAGATCCCTCACACTGCAAAGCAACATAAAAGGGTAGACAAGTATTTCTCAAAAGCTTCAAAATAACCAACAGGCTTATAAGAAACGAAGGGAAACGTCTCTGATCAAGAACGATGTGGGAGGTGAGTACAAAATAGGTTCCAGAAGCCTGGAACTTCAGTTATAGTGTCTTTGTGCAAGAGGACAGAAAGAAAAGCTTCAGACAGACACAGACAGGCATTCAGATCACAGGCCCTGCGGACAACCAGGAAAGGGTCAGCGTTCAAGCGTGGCACGAATATACACTGCCAGTGGGCCTGGAAACCCGTACGCTAAGAACCGTAATAGAAAGCAGCCCTGGGATGGCGCTCCCCCAGCCTCCTGGACACTACAGGATGGGGTCCTCCACCTAGTCTGCAGAGTCCTCATCACTGCAGCAGTAACAGAATTGAGTTCCCAATGCACGAAACGCACCAAGACCGTACCAGTAACACCCAGCAGAAGGAATCGCCGACAGGGCCAGAGCCCAAGAAGTTCTCAGGTACCAGAAGCAGCAGCTACAGAACAGAAACAGTGTGTTTATTAAGTGAATACATGCTTAAAAGAAATTAAAACACCATCAAAAAGTTAGGGCTACTATTACGAATAACCGGGCAATTATAAAATAACAACTTATAAAAATGAAAACTGTAATACTCAAGTTAAAATGCAAGGTAAATGAACACATGAGAAAGGAGAAATAGTAAACTGAAAATAGGAAAGAAAGAAAAATGGATGAGAGAGGTTAGAGTGAGAAAGTCCAACATGTGTCCAATTAGGCCCCACAAAGTAAAAGCAGAAAGAATGGTGGAGGAAAGTGTTTCAAAATCATAATGGCTAAGACTTTTCCAGAATGTGGAAATAAATAAAACCCTTCAGATTCAGGAGTCACAAAAAGATCTCAAGAAATACAAAAATACAAGTCTACACATACTGCGATCTAATTCTACACCAAAGAGAAAGGTTTTAGAACAACCAGAGAAAAAGACATAAGGGGGGGCCACAATGAAAACGGGGCTCTCAGGAACACAGACAGGAGCCCAAAGGTAGGGAGAAGAGGTTTAATTTAGCTCATGTTTTCAGGGGATTCAGTCCACGGTCAGCAGGCTCCAAGGGAAACATCATGGTGAAGCAAAGTTGCTGAGTTCAGGGTGGCAAGGAAGCAGGGCAGAGAAGCAGCACCAGAAAGGAGGGGGCAGGGACCAGACACACTCCCAAGGCCACCTCTCCATGACCCATCAGACATGCCCAGAAGAGTGCTTCACCAATCCCCCAGGCGAATCTCAAAGTCAACCAAGCTGATTCTGCATCCTACCCACCATATATTCAATAGTTTTTAAAAATTAAAAGTAATGACAAAACTCAACAATAAGTATTATATCTGGTGGGGTTTTTGTTTGTTTATTTTTTTAATTTGAGAGAGGATCTCACTAAGTCACTAAGTTGTCCAGGCTGGGCTCAAACTTGTAATCATCTGCCTCACCCTCGCTGAGTGCCAGGACTACAGGCGTGTTCCGCCATGCCTGACTACATCAAAATTCTGAATACGGATGGAATCGGTAACAGTGCCATGCCAAGACACACTGGAGCCTGGAGCAAGAGTAAATCACTAATAATGATTCAGTCCATTAATAAGGCACTTATAATGAAGTAAATGATGATACATTCATACACGAGTTTTGCAAAAGAACTTTGATGATAGTCTTCTGCTAAAACGTCTAGTTTTCCCATGTCACTGGCTAGTGTGGGTTCTAAGCTGTGTTTAAGATGAAAACAGTTTGGGCCGGGGATTTAGCTCAGTGGTTCTGCCACCTGCCTCGCAAGCACAAGGTCCCAAGTTTGATCCCCTGTACCAAAAATAATAATAATAAGAAGAAGAAGATGGAAACAGTTTATCATGAAAGAAATCCAGCTGGCTTCCTTGTAAGTGGCCCAGCCCTAGAAAGAGACAGCTAAGCTGTCTCCACAGAGGGCCTCAGGAAGGTCCAGCAAAGCTGGCCACTCCACAGTCGGGCCCTAACAACATGGGGTCCCAAAGGAAAATCATTAATTATTCATTATTTTTTCTTCAGGAATGTGTGGGGTCTCCAGACTGAGCGGAGTTCAGTTATTGCACATGCAGGCAAGTTTGGAAGGGTCAACTCTTGGTCATATTTGTCACCATCTCTGTTTATACCAGTCTCATCCAACTTGCCCTTGAATCTCACTTTCTTATCTCAAAGAATATGGCATCTTACTCAATTAACAGCCTGCTCTAATTTCCCCCATTTACTGCTTTTTTTTCTCTCGGTAGCAGAGACCAAACTCAGGACCTTGCGCTTGTGAGGCAGGCACAGCGCCACTGGGCTAAATCCCCAGCCCCCTCATTTATTGTTAAAAGCAGCAACAGCCTGCTCTTTTTCTTTCAGGCTGCTTTGTCACAGTCCTGCCTAATCGCTCCCTGGCTCACTTTCTCAAAGCAAGTTCCTTGACTTGTTTTTATCACCTTACAGCCTAGTACCCTAGCCTGGACACAGCAGGGACTCAGCTCATAAATTCGACGTGAACCAACACCTAAGGACTGAGAGCCTCAGCATTTTCAAAGTCAATGCCACTGGGATGACGAAGATAAAGCTATACCATCACCCTCAAGAACAGGGGTTCTCAGTCCTCAAGTTAGGATCCTCAGTTTCCAAGCAGGCTACACAGTGAGCCAAAGCAGAAGTCCTTTCAAGTTTCACTGACTGTGTTAGACTATTCCAAAGCTGCTCCCCAGTAACCTACTTGCTGCAGTACTGAGGTGTTACCGTTTTGGTCTAGCTGTCCCCTCAATGCTTCATGCGGTCAGAGGTGGCTGGCTCTAGAGTGTGTGATGCTGGAATTAAGGGCATCTGATTACTAAACCAGTCCACTGATTGGCTCGGCACCACCCTAATCCCTGGTAGTCTGGATAAGATAAAAGGGGCAGAAAGACGCTGCTAAGGTCCCTTGTTGCTTTTGCTACTGTATGGACGCCATGAACTGTCGCTCCTCTGTGACGCCCCTCTGCCATGTGCCACCCTGCCTTGGAGTCAGCCGATTATGGACTGAAACCTCTGCAAACTGAGCTAAATAAACCTTTTCCCCTCTAACTCTGGGTGTCAGTATTTTGTCTCAGCAATGAGAGAAAAGTAACTAACACACAAGTGCTGCTCAAGTGCAGTGCTCATGAGGAGAACTGGCACATGACTAATTTCTGAGGTCTTTAATCAGTATTCCAAGGAGGGAAAAGTCCTGCTTCAGATCACAAGTGCACACAGTTCCAAGTCCTGTGCTGTCCATGGCTGTTTTCATGCAGGCAGCAACAGCAAGACTGAGTCACCATAACAGAAGCCAGGGCCCACAAAGCCCCAAATATTTCCTATCTCATGCTTTACAGAAAGTTTGCCCACTTCCACTTCACAGCATGAAAACAGACAAATCATCTTCTGTAGATCTCAAAGGGAACACTACCATCTGGTGATAACTGTAATATGGGGCAAACCTCAGAAAATATGTCCCGTTGGAATTCTTCATCGACTGCCATAGTAGCAAAACAACTCACAAATTGACAACTTTGTTTAAAATTCCCTGTTTGGTTAAAATCCATCATCCTTAAAAAATTAACAGGGAACAACTGTAATTGTGACAAACACAACTGTCACCTGAGATCCCACATTTCCGTCAGGCCACACTCCCAGAAGACCACTGACTTCCAGTGACACAGCAGTTAGCAGAACACAAACCCAGAATGACTTTGCTTCTTGTGCAAACGCTTTCTAGATGGCATCTCAATTCCAACCAAAAATATGTACAGTATAAGTAACGTGTTGAGTTCCCAACTGGCAACTGTTGAGCCATAACAAACTGCCAGGAGGAGGGGGGAAGACATAGAAACACAGACACAGAAAGAACTAAGATGTGTTATGTCTATGCACCAACTCCCCAAGATGAATGTAATCAGCATGCGCTGTGAATGTGTACTAATAAAAATTAAAATTAAAACAAGACTTTAAAAAAAGAAATTGCCAGGGTCGGGAATTTAGCTCAGTGGCACCGCGCCTGCCTTGAAAGCGCAAGGTCTTGAGTTCGATCCCCAGTACCAAAAAAAGAGAAATTGTCATCCAATTCACTCCTGTAGTACTAGAGACGTTAAAAATAGAATCTGTTTTGCAAGACAGTGCACTTGAGATTCACTTTTTTTCCCAATGACAAGAAAGTAGGCAAATTCTGCTTTCCTATCAGATGTCATTTACAAGCGGTATCAAGTTTTAGCCACACGATGTTAACATCCATTGAACTGGTCTAATGTTAAGTTGTAAATTGACAGTGCTATGAATCTCAGTTTTCCTAAAGGGAATTTTAAGGTTTTTGCCCTATCTAGTTTGGTCATTTTATATATTTTTAAAGTCTTATTACTAATTAACTTACTTTTTCAGCCTTTTCAATAAGAAAAAGCCAAGTAACCTAATACACAAATGAGCAAAAAAGATAATCCCTCAATCCACCAAAGAAACTCATCCAAGGTTCCCAAACATGGAGAAGATTCTTGACTTCCAAAGTAGTCAGGGAAATATCTGCAAATGCATCCTGGATACCGCCTAGATCCTGCCTGTGCCAGGCGTGATGTGCATGAGCCCGGTGACCCACAGCTAGGGGGAGGGAAAGGACAGCATAGTGATGACAGGGAAGCTCCTGACACTTGTCAGGCCATCACTGAACAGAGAAGTAGAAATGCAAGGAAAGGAGGCGGGACAAGTCCACCATCCTTACCACCCCCTTAGCTGACTGATCCCATGGTGCACCCAGTTCTGCCCAGTGGTCATCTGCAGCACTCGGAAGGCTAACATACATGTGAGAAGTTGTAGTGAAGTAGGGAAGTGGAGATCCAAGAGTTACTCCGCTCCAGCTAGCAGCCAGCCTACTGGCAGCACACAGCGCCTCAGAGGGCTCTCTGGGGTCAGCTGCTGTCCCTGGCCACTAGATGTTGGAAGTTTCTAGATTCAGAAAGTTAAGAGCATCTTCTAAAACAAATAAGGTAAACTAGGGCTAGCCAGAATTTATACAGCCTGGGAAGCCATGATACTGAACTAACTCACAGAGGTCAAGCTCCAACAATGTCCCGCTTAACACTCCTTGTGGTCCCATGGTGGAATCAAGTCTAACCCACACTGAGACACAGGGCCTGCAGAAACCTCAGGGGAAGCAGAGAGAAGAGGGTGTCCTGAGCTAACCTTCCTTCTGGGAAGATATATCCAGTCTTGGTAAGGCCAAGGCCACCCAAATTCCAGCAGGGCTGGCAAAGGGTCTGATGCAGGCTCTATGGCCCTGATGAAGGCCACCACAGTGCAAGAGGAGACAGAGGCCAAAGAGGGACTGGTGGTGAGGAGAACTTGAACATGCTGAGGCAAGAGGTGACAGCAAATGGAGCAAACTCCCAGTGCATAGTAGGCAAGGCGGTAGTGGGAGGACCACTCACACACACACAGGCACAGGCACCAACACGCCACATGTGCCTCTGACTGAAGGGAAGCAAACAGGGTGAGGTGAGGGGGACAGCTGTGGGAGGCAGAGTCAGCTCACACTGGCATGCTCCACTCCATGTGGCACTGGACACCGAGCAGAGGAATGCAGCAGAGTCAGGGCTCACCCAGAGTGTGCTCCAAGTCCGTCTGGACATGTGGAAAGAACAAGGCAGAACTGAATCAGGGTGCAGATGGGGCTTCAAGGGGTGCTGAGGATGAGCGAGAGGGTAAAATGACACGAGTGTGCACAGTAGGGAACCTTCTCAAGCATCACTCGGGAAAAGGGGGTGGTCAGGCTTGTGCTGGGTTAGACACACAGGGAAATGGGATCCAGCTGAGTAAAAGGCAGGAAGGCCAGGTTGACCGTGTGACTAGGAGGCAGGGCTAAGCAGCAGCAGGACTTGGCAGGTGCCTGGCTGACCACACCATGGCGATGAGCACCCCAAGGTGCAAGGTGAGACAGTGCCCCTGTGACAAAAAGAGCACCAGCCACTGAGCAGCCAACTGTCATAGTGGAGAGCACAGCAAACCTGGAGCTGAGAAAGGTCAGGACCTTGCAGTCAGATTGCTGGAGGAGAGGAACCCGTCCACAAGATGCTCCAAGTGCTGGAGATGGAGATAGAGAGGAGGGGCCGATGCCAGCAGTGAGTGATGGAAGGGAGGTGTCCTGATGTCAGAAAAGGACAAGAAGAGAATGGGTGCGCCTGAATTCTGAAGGAGGTTTAGCATGAGAGTAGGTGAGAAAAGGCAGCTAGGAGAAAGCTGGCCCCCACCTCTGAGTCCGAGGTACCAACTGCTAAAAATGTGTAAGCTTTGACTGCAGAACAGTAATGAAAGCAGAAGCCCCAGGGGAGTTAGAGTCAAGGCGGGAGAGGCCAAGAAGAGAGGCTTATTTATAGCACAGAAAAGGTCCTGTTCCCGAGGGCTCACGGCTGGGAGTCAGCAAGGAAGGCGCCAGCCAGGGGAGAGCACACCCCCTGCAGAGGAGGAGAGAGGCAGCCAGCCAGCCTTATCAGGAGGCAGCCAGCCTCTCTGGAGGGGAAGATGCCTCAGGCTGACACAACCTAAGATCGCAAGTGGGGTTGGAGGCCAACAGTCTGTATGGAAGCCGGGAGGGCTGCTGAGAAAGGATGACATGGCTCTGCAGGCAATTCCCCACCGAGTGCAACTGACAGGAGCTCACTAGGACCAAAAGGCACAAAACTCCAAAGATGAACCAGAGAGGCTGGCAGAGCCCCAGCCCTCCCACAAAGCCTCACCTTGAAGCTAGAGGAGGGGATTAGCTGGCCTATAACACTGACCTTGTACAAACCACAGAAGCAAAGGTGGCAACAGATTAACTTCCAAACAAAGAACTCCAGTGCAGCACTGAGAAAACCAAGCAAAACAGGAAATAGACAAAGATTGGGTAACTCACAGGGAAAGCCTAGCGGCACAAACATGTGAAGAGTCTCATCCTTGCTGGTATTCCAAATCTGGAAGGAAGGAAGTGGACAGATGGATGACTGACAGCTAGATGGACAGACACACAGATCACATAATGTCCTTTCTAGGAATACGATAATGAAATGCTGACAGGGGTGCAGGAAATACAGAGCACCGGCACAGTGCAGTAAGTGCAGTATCTTATAAACTCCATGTCCCACTTCTCAAATAATCCACTCCTGGAGTATTCACACAGGTTAGCAAGGAAGATTTGCCAAGAATGTTCACCATAGCATTGTATTTGTAGAGGGAAATCCGAAAAGAACCTAAATGCCCATCAGTCAAGGAAAGGATGAGCCACATGTTACATCTACTTTGACGTGAGATACTTAAATTAACTAGATGGACAATCTGTAAAACTTTACCCCACCAAAACTATACACACCTGTTATACTACAGCATGTATATTATTCCTGTACATAGATGAGTTAGCACAAAACACTAAAACAGACTGGAGGACCGGGGATTTAGCTCAGTGGTTTTGCCACTTGCTGTAAAAGTGCAAGGACCTGAGTTCGATCCCTGGTACCAAAAACAAAAACAAAAACAAAAACAAAACAAAACAAAACAAAAAGACTGGAGCCTGGTCCACATAGGATAGAATAAGCACACCCCCCTACTCATTTCTACGGAACGCAGCCACAGATTTTGAACAGAATACAGGAAGCAGGTACTCAAGGTATATGAAAAGAAAAAGTAGCCAGAAGACTGAAGGACAGCAGGATCTGAAGGACACCAACTAGAGGCTGCCCTTGGCCTGGACACAGGAGCCCCAATCCAGCAGCTGCACTGCCTGTCATGGAGGGCACCAGAAGGTCCAGGTCCAAGCCTGAAGACAGGGAAGGGGGTCTGCAGGCAGCACTGTGGTGGCAGTGGAGCCGAAGGCAACTCAGACTCTGTGGGAGAGGACGCTTCCCTGCCCTGAAGGATCTGAGGGCCTCTGAAGTCTCCTGCTGGATGGGCTGTGGGCAGTTAGTGGAAGCAGCAGCAGCAGCACAGCAGGGCACACTAAGCTCCAGCTTTCCAGGGGCTGTTGCAAAGGGGAACCCTGGGGAGCTACAGAGCACCAAGTACTGAGGAGGGTCAGGGTCTCCGGAAAGTGGCCCCACAGCGTTATAAACTCCCTGCCCACCTAGGTGTGCCGCACCTCAAGCACTCAGAGGTAGGGAGAGGGGCACCCACATCCCATACGGGCCCCTGGGGGCTCACAAGAGAGAGGTGGGCAGATCCAAGGAGCTGGAAATGTGTTTTTAGCTTTGTTTTGGTGCTGTAACTTGGACAAAGGAGGGAATTTACACTGAAAAGGCTTTCACTAGAACTTGTGACCCAAACCCAACAAGGCTGACTATATTTTCCAACAGATTTAAACAAGACCAATGCTCAGGGTGAACCCCAAATTACTCAGCATACAAATAAATAATGAAAATTTCAACTCACACAGGAAAAGACAGGAAACACAAAGGTCTGCCCAATACAGATGCTGGAAGTACTTGGCACAGATTTTTAAAAAGGTTCTATTGAAAACAACACAAAACAACGGTGCTCCAACAAGTAACGGCCCATAATTGGAATGGATGGTGTGACAGGAAGAACCTTAAACAGCCCCCAAGATTTCCTGTCCTGGAGCTGGGGATGTAACTCGGTGCTAGAGCACTTGCCTAGCATGCACGAGGCTCTGAGTTCAATGTCCAGAACTGGAAAAAAATACTGCTTAATTCAAGAACTATAAATATATCACACCCTTATGTTAAAGCACCTGGCTGGGGGACTCTGCAGGTGTAATTAAAGTTACTGATCAGCAGACTGCATTAATTAAAAGGGTTTAACCAGGTTTGCCTAATCTAAACACACAGCCCATGAAAAGCAGTGTCACCTGAAGAGGAAGCAGAAGAGGGAGCTGGAGACTACAAGTGTACAAAGCCCTGAGCGAGCTACTGGCCTGAAGATGCAGCCCCATAGGAAGGATGCCATCAGCCAGCATGGGAGTCAGCCAGTGCCCTGAAAGCACCTGGAAGCAGGTTCTGCCCAGGAGCCTCTAGGAAGAGCCCAGAGGGCACCACCGTGATTTTGGCCTTGGAAACCCCCCAGGCAGAGAACCCAATCAAGCCCACAAGACTTATGACCTACACACTGTGAGATAATAAATGGGTGTGCTTTATTCACTGGTTTGTCATAATCTGTTACATAATAATACCAAATAAATACAGTAAGTCTCTGACTTAGGAATGAGTCCTGTTCTGGGAGAATTGATTGTAAGTTGGATTTGTTCGGAAGCCAACAAAGTCTTATACAGTACACCTGAGAAAGTTCACAACTCAAATGTTTGTAAGTCGGACACTTACTGTACAGATTTGGGTACCTGTAAGTGGGGTACTGCTGTAACAAATACCTATCAATGTTCATTTTGGGAAATTAATATAATCCTGAAGTGTTACATGATAGCATTTGGGACTCACTGATTTCTCTAGGGTGAGAACATTCCTTTCCTTATTTTTCTAAAATGCTACTTAAGAGACAGCATACCCCTTAAACGCTCTAGGCAATTTATTTTTTCTATTTTTTTAGAACTATTGTCAAACCAACTGTTGTTTACTTGAAGAGAGGCCCCATCAGCTTATTCCAAGTAATATGCACACTGACGAAGGTGTTAGCTGCTATCCACCTACACTTTGAGTTTGGTGCACTGTCCTGGCTTCAAGTCCCCCAGAAGCTGCAACATGGTGTCCAAGAGCACCCGACTGGAACTGACCAGGAACTCCCGGCCACAGGCTATGGCAGCAACATCTGCAACAACAGAGATGAGAGAGCGTCAGGATCACAAGTGCTTTGGAATCTGGAAAACTCTGTCCCGGACCAAGCACCTGTTCCTGTTCTTCTCCTGAAAGACCCAAGGAAAACAGACGCCAAGGCACTGACAGTGGTGTTGTTCCTGAGCTGCCACTCCAGCACGAGGACTTGACAGCCTCGAGAGTTACTAATGGAGGCGAAGGGCCTGTTTGAGAGCAAAGCCTCCACCAGGAACAGAGCAGGGCGCTCCCTGCCTGCAGCACCATGCAGAGCACCAGACCAGAAGCCGGTGGTCACAGGAAAGGTCAGGTGACGGACGGCCTTACCTGGCTCGGAGCACGCCGAAATGCATTTGCTGTCCAGCCAGTATTTGCTGGTGACTTGCAACCATGACATAAAACTGAAATCACAGGCCATCAAAGAGTATGAAAACTGACTCTGAAACCACCTTTTTTTCTAAATGTTTGGTCGTACTGTGATCAGCAAGTACACATCTTCCTACATGAGGTCTGCAAACCAGCCTGGAAACCACAGCAGCCACTGCTCAGCCGCAGCTCAGCTGGTTCCAGTCAGCATTCCCTAAAACCTGTCTGTGTACCTCAGTGACCCAAGGACACGGATGTGCCTGTAAGTGTTCTCTTCAGTCGGGACTATCAACAAAGTGATCCAAAATCACTATAAACTCCATGTAAATAAACAAGACGAGGGAGAAGTGGGGCAGGGCAGCAGCATCTTAGTCTTTTCTCTGACTTTAATGGAAACACTTCCAAGAATCCACAGTTCAGTGTGATGGCTGATCCCTTTCTGGTACACATCATTTACCAGGTTAAGGAAGTTTTCTTCTATTTGTAATCTGCTGAGAACTATCAGAAGTGGAGGGGGAGTTGAGCATAGAGGCACATGCCTATAATCGCAGCACTCAGGAGGCTGAGGCAGAGAATTGCAAGTCTGAAGCCAGCCTGGACAACATAGTTAATTCAAGGTCAGCCTTGACCATGTAGTGAGACCCTGTCTCAAAAGACAGAAAGCAAAAACAGAAGGCGAATGTTAGTTACTTGTTCTGCCTTTGATTAACTGTGATCTGATTGCGGAATATAAAATTGCATTAGTGCTACCAGATTGACTTTATGAAATCAGATTCTTCACATTCCTATTTATTTTGTTTACTCGGGCTGAGAAGGACCAGGTGGGGTACATTAAAGTCTCCTAAACCTATTGGATTTTTCCTCATATCTACTTGTTTTTCCAGCATTTTGCCTCATAACTGAAGCTATGTCATTTGATACACAACTTCACGATAGCTGTAACTTTACTGAGGACAGGACCTTCCTTTTACACAAAATTACTTTCTCTGTTTAGTGAACTTTAAACTGATATTTATATTCTCCAGCAAATGACACACTCCAGTTTTACTAAGGGAAAAATAAAGAAAATAAACACACAATAGGGAAAACAGCATTCAGCTATGACAGCAGGCCACCTGGTGGCTGTTCCCCGGGATGCCCCCTCCAGGGACAGGCTTCCTACTGAGCCACGCCCCACACGCAGACTTGCAGTGTCCACTCTGCTGTGACTCTACTGTGACCAGCAGAACTGACACCGTGTGCCCAGCACTGAGCAGAAAGAAGCCTCACGAAGCACCACCTTGGTCTGCTGCCACTTGCTCTAGGAGCCCTGGGTCACCTGGGCTAGAAGAGCAAGGACAGAGGCAATGCCCTGAGACCAAGTGAGGTGAGAGGGACACTTACTAGTCCCCGGCTGTCCCGGCCCTCAGAAACTTTGAAGAACAGCAGCAAACCATCCTGCCAACCCCTGACCGAACTGCAGACTTGCAAGCAAAGTAAATATTGTTGTTTATTGCTGTCTGTTACCCAGAAACAGATAACATGAACAGTACTATTACATCACTGAAGTAAAAATAGCAAAAAATATATATTAAATATCACAGGAGGCAACAACTCCCAACACATTTACTGGCAAATGGAGCCCAATGTTATATATCCCAGTACTGCAACAGCAAATACTAACCCTGCATTTTACTGAATAGCAGTAACTAAAGCTCAAATACAGCATCTGTCCTACTGTCACAGCCAGTATCTGTCACCCTCTCAGAATTTATTCACATCTATTTTACATCATAGCTGGTATTTTAATTACTGATATTCAATCTGTCTGGGGTATTGGCGAGTCATTTAAAGCCTACAGAATGGATTTTGTTGCCATTCACCACAAGCTGACAAAGGACTGGTTTAATTTTCTGTTCAAATGTTTTTTTTCTAGGTTCATTCTCATTAAAATTGTTTACAGGTATTTCTAGAGCTTAGCATAGGAGTTAAATAGTTGAAGAAATGAATTTGGTAACAGTTATATATGCTGAGAAAGATATACAAATTCCTATGTAGAATGACCCTTTTGCTTTAGGTCGTAATAATTTTTCAGTGGTAAAAATCATAATAGAGTACTGGCATAATGATACACACATAGACCAACAGCAGGACTGGAGGTCTAGAAATAAACTTATATTCATGGTCAATTAATTTTCTTGTTGTGTGTAAATTAAAAACAAATTTATTTATTGTATGATTCTACTTCTATGAAGTCAAACTCATAGAGACAGAAAGTAGAGTGTTGTTTGCCCAGGGCTAATAGGGTAAGGGAAGCTATTTTTTTTTCTTCAGAAAACATTTACTAGTACATTTTAGATATATACGATAACATTCATCATAGGGAATTTGTACCAGTACATGATATATCTTGCATCTTTTTTTTCCCCCATCCCCCACCCCTATGTGCAAAAGCTTTGTTTCCATTTTTTCCTTCAATTTTCTCTCTCTTTTTTTTTTCTTGTCCCTTCTTTCTGGTCAATTAATTTTCAATGAAGGTGTCAAGACAATTCAATGGAGAAAAGATTACAAAGAACAATCTTTTCAACAAATGATGCTAAGAAAGCTAGTTATGAATATGCAAAGGCATGAAGTTGCAGTCCTACCTTACATCACATACAAAACTTAAAATATATCAAACACCTAAATGTTAAGAGCAAATATTATAAAATCTTTAGAATGAAATATAGGAGTAAATCTCTATGACCTTGAATTAGACAATGGTTTCTTTTTTTTCTTTTTTGGTACCAGGGATCGAACTCAGGACCTTGACCTTGCAAGACGTGGCACCACTGAGCTAAATCCCCAGCCCGACAATGGTTTCTTAAAGACATCAAAATCACAAACAACTGAAGAAAAATAAATTGTACATAATCAAAATTTAAAACTTTTGTGCTTCATAGAACACTACTGAGAAAGTGAAGACAACTCACAGAATGAAATATTTGTAAAACACATATCCAAAAATATTTGTAAAACACATATCCAAAGACTGGTATCTAGAATATGCAAAGAACTCAATAAAAAAAGACAACCCAACTCAAAAACAGGCAACAGTGGGTCAGAGATGTAGCTCAGTGGCACCGCGGCTGCCTGGCAAGTGCAAGGTCGTGAGTTTGATCCCCAGTATTGAGAAAAAAAAAGGCAACAGACCTGAACAGACGTTTCTCCAAAAGATACACACGAGTGGACAATAAACACACACAGTGTCTGCAACATAATTAGCCATCATGAGTCTATGGATCAAAATCACAATGAGATACCACTGTATGTCTACCAGGATGGCTATGTTCAAAGAAAAAAAAAGTTTCAGCAAGGATGTGGAAAACCCGGAGCCCTCATATACTACTTATGGGAATGTAAAATGGTGCAGCCACTGTAGAAAATAGACCGCTCAGCTCTTTAAGCCTGACTTCGGGCTGTCTGTTTTCTCAGAAGTGCCAACGGGCAGTACCAGCTGGCTGTGAAGCTGCCGGGTCAAGGCTGCAGAGCCTCTTTCCCTGCTCAGTGCCTCAGACGGCACTGCTCACTCTGCTACCCAGTCTAACGTGCTTCTGTGGGCAGACAGACAACCCAACAGATGATTCCGAGACAACACAGGAGGAAGCGGTGCCAACAGTGCTGGAACTGAAAACCAGCTCTCTACACATCCACCTCACTTTCAGGAGGTCCACAGACAGTCGTGAGAACCCTGACAATCCCTGATGATCTCTCTGGGGTCAGAGTGGCATGAGAACCAAATGGAAGCTCCAAGAACCAACTAACAACAACAATATGCCCCCGTGCCTAGAAAGACTCCCTTTTCAAAGACACAGAGAAAGTAGCCAGCAGGATGCAAGACGGTGGAGCCATCGTGGAGAACAGCCTGGCCGTTCCTCAACACGTTAGCTGCAGTTATCACAGGACCCTGCTACTCCACGCCCAGGTGTACACCCAAGAGAGCTGAAACACAGACTCCCACAGAAACGTGCACACGGGTATCCACAGTAGCATGATCTGCAACAGCCAAAGGCAGGAAGTCTTAGTGCCTATCCATGAACTCCTCTCTGCAGACTCAGACCATCTGACACCAGGGGACCTACAGGTCCAAGTTCAAAACGTGGCCCTCCTTCCTGCACAGGCAGACAGAACCATACAATTCCATGGCCGGGTCAGACCAGAATCATCCAGTGCCTGAGATTCTTCTCAGAAGATGAAACTAAACATCACATATGTGTGAAAACAGGGCTGGTCAGTGGCAGAAGCAGCGCTGGACACAGTGCCTCAAGTTCTATGCTGTCTTCGCTCTGCACCACACGCTGCTCTCCTGTGATGGCCTGAGTGCCTGGGGTTGTGGTGGCCAGGAGAAGGGATAGAAACTGACACAAAGGGGCTCCACTGGCAACTAGAAAGGTTCATGGAAGACAAAAGCAGACCCAGTCCTGCCCCCAAATTATCAACCATCATAAAGTAATATTGATGCTGCAATATTTACTGAATGTTATTTGAATGTAAAAACCAGAAATAAGAGGTAAAAAGTACAATTATGACTTTTAAATCATCCAGGAGCAGAAAAACTGTTTCAAAATCGGCTTTCCACTTGCAAGCTAAGCAAATTACTCTTTAAAGGACTGTAATAAAAATTTATCATCTTCTTTTCCATTTGTCACCATTATGGTGACTGTCAATTTGACTAGATTAAGAAACACCTAGCAAGTTAGTAAAGCAAGCTTCGAGGCGTGTCTGTGAGGGTGTTTTCAGAGATGATTGGCATTCAGTCTAGCAAATGAGGGAGAAGGCCAACCCCATTGTGGGTGGTGCCATCCAATAAGCTTGCAGCTGGATGGAATGATAGGGGAGAAAGAGGAGGTGAGCCTGCATTGAAAAGCTCCATTCTTCTCGAGCAGGTGTGTCTTTTGCTACTGCCATTGCCTGTGGACCTCAGACTCCAATCTGGCTCCTTCATCCTTCAATGTAGACTCACACCAGAAACTCTCCAGGACACACCCAGACCATCAGTCTTGGATTTGCAGAGCACCCTTGATCCCTTTTGTTTTGTGGCTTCCAGCCTCTCGAACTGAGCAGCTACAGGATCCAGTGGCTCTCAGCACATAGCCACAGCGGACTCTCCTGCCTCTGACAGGGCCTCTAATAAATCCTTCTGCCTAATTACATATTCTTTTTCTATCGGTTCTGTTCCTCCAGCAAACCTAAACCAACACACCACTCTTTATTTGCCCTCTTACCAACCCGATGAAAACCCCACTCCTATACTGAACAATACTTCCCTTTGCCACGTGCGCTCACCTGCCACAGTGCAGTAGGATGTTCACAATGTGTAAAGCTCTGGAAGGTGATTAGATCAACGGGGGGGTTTCTGGTGGACTGGGATTAGCAGGCAAGGCCCGGCTGGAGGAGGGCGGTCACTGAGGTGTAGCCTGGAAGGGTATATTCCCGTCCTGTGCTCCTCCCTCCTCTAGCGTTTCTCCAACCCTCTCTGCCTCCTGGCTGCAATGAGGTGAGCAGCCTTCCTCTACCATGCCCCTCCACCAAGACGTTCCTATTTGGGGCCAACCAAACAAACACCAAATCCTTTCCTTGTTTCAGTTGTGTATGTCAGGTAATCTGTCACAGAGACAAAGCCTGACTAATACATAAGGTCATTAGAGCAGGTTATTTCCATTCCACCATGCAGATAAGAACAAGCAGACTAACTGGACCTGAAATCCAGACCCTCTGTGCTACACTAGCCTATAAGAATAGGGACTCTTAGGGCCGGGATTTAGCTCAGTGGTTCTGGTGCCTGCCTTGCAAGCACAAGGTCTCAAGTTCGATCCCCAGTACCAAAAAAACAAAACAAAACCAAAAGAACAGTGACTCTGTCCAGCACTTGGGAGGCTGAGGCAGGAGGATTGTGAGTTCAAAGCTGGACTACACAGCAAGACTCTTGTCATTTAAAAAAAGAAAGCAAAAGAAGAGACTAGGGATGAGTAAGAATTTTGACTTCAGTTTTTGCTTAGGATGCAATAAGCTGGAAAGAGCTACTCCTTCTTCCCCTGGGCAAGGGGTGGATAATTTACAAAATCACAACTTTTCTTGAACACAGACAGCTGAGGCTGGCTATGGAGCAACTAAGATAAGAAGGGACGGGTACACATGCACCTGGGGCAGATGTGTGATGCCACACAAGTCAGCAAGAAAAATGCAGCTAAAACGCCTCACACATCACCAGGGCAGGGTCCCGCAGGGCTGACGGCAGAGAAGGGACAGGCGAGAAGAGGAGGGAGGAGGCGAGTGGGAGTTTCACACCCTAACTGCATCACACGGTGAGATGCATCCGTCATAACTTACAGTGGCAAACAGGTGCGAAACTCACTGCTAGGGTGAACACACTGTAAATGTAAAGCACCCGTTTCAGAAGGAAGAAGAGCCGCAAGACTCCTGCACCGTGGTTTCCACCGAGCTGCCCGTCCCCACAGGACAGACCCAGTATCTGAGATGTTTCTGTGAATCAGCACTGTGAAAATGCACCGCATGAGTGTGAAAGGTCTCAGTTAGACTCACTCACGCACAATGAAGTCCTCACGCTCCAACTCCTCAGGAGTCCATGTCTCATGGAAGCTAACACAGGCAGTGGAAAACAAAGCCACACTGAGCTTGGATGCTAGGCAACAGGCTAGCTCCACCCCGCCAGCTGCAGTCTCCTCACAATTCAAGCATTTCAAATTTACAACTCAAACTGAATGTGGTGGTGCACACCTGTAACTCCAACTACTCAGGAGGCTGAGGCAGGATGATCGAAAGTTTGATACCAGCCTGGGCAACACAGAAATTTTATCTCAAAATAATAAAAATGTATAAAAAGGATATACCTCAATGGCAGAGTGCCTACCTAGTATGTTTGTTCCTGGGTTTAAGCCCCACTATTGAGAAAAAAAAAAAAATCACCACTCAGCAAAGTGACATAGCTTATGAATCTTTTGGGTCATGTGCAGAGAAAACCCAATCATCAAATCTGCAAATGCCACCAGGCGTGGCAGTGCACACCTGTAACCCCAGCACTTGGGAGGCTGCAGCTGAGGCTGAGCCAGGGGATCGAAAGTTGGAGCTCGGCTTGGGCAATTTAGTAGTTAAGGAGAATCTGTCTCAAAATAAAAATTTAAAAATGGGCTGGGGATGTAGCTGAGTGCGAGCTGGGTTTCATCCCTAGCACTGTAAGAAAAAAAAAAAAAAAACAAATGTCTTCAGTTAAAAACAGCCTTCAGCCAGGTATGGTTGCACATGCCTGTAATCCCAGCTATTCATGAGGCTGAGGCAGGGAGATTACAAGTTCTAGGAATTTAGCCAGACCCTTCTCAAAAAAATAAAATAAAAAGGGCTGGGGACGTAGACTAGTGGTAGAACATTTGCTTAATAGGCACAAGAGAGGGCCTGGGGTTAAATACCACAGCAGGGGTGGGGCACGGAAAAACTACAGCCTTCAAACCTAAAGGGAAGCTTTCAGCCTGTTTAGCTACAGGTGCCTCGATAAAAACAGGAGAGCTGTTCTGCACTGACAAAGCACGTGCCAGGCCACGCCAGGCCCTCCAGAGGTCACTGTGATCTCAGCACCCAACCCGCAAAACATACCGCCAATTTTTAAAGGATCATTTTTTAAATGTCTACACAGCACCTGCCCCATTAGGATTTCAGGAAAAGAAGAAGAATGCTGAGAGGAAAGCAGAATTTTTCCCTCTCTTTAACAGCAGGAAATTACCCTAGGAGTAGCATGGGATATGGCACGGATGAAGGTCAATGTGAGAAGGTAACAATTGCAGAAGTATACGTAGACTCACACAGAGCATCAATGCTCACCAGTGACACGGGCCTCAGAGACAGAGGACAAACCAACCCCAGGCCCAAACCTGCTCCCTATTAACAGCACCATCTGTGTTTCCTTCTGAGGCAATCAGGGACTTAAAAGCACGTTTTGTTCTTGTTGTTTTACTGAAGGCCGTGACTCTTCACTTGGGCCTACTGATGTCCAATAGGTAACTAAAAACAGAACAAAGTCTGAGTTCATTTTGTGGCCTTTATCACCTTAACACTTTGGATACAGGTATGTTAATCATTTAGGGAAATTTGGCAGGGCAAGGTTTATTACCCTTAAATTTCCCTAGCCTGTCTCATCCCCCTTCGAGACTTCCCCCACCACCAAGATAAGAGATCTTTTGCAAGAACATTCAGCTACACCCAGCTGTCTCCAGTGCCCTGAGCCTGAGGTCACCTTGGACCCCAGCACCCTGAACTGCTCCAAGCAAGAGCGATTATCATGCTGTAAGGAAAGCCAACCCCGAGAGGACATCAACCAGCCCCCAGCCCACCACAGCCCCCATAAACTGCGGCCCACTCCTTGGCTGCAGGGCCAGTCTGATTCCCTCCTCAGTCCTGTGCCCCCTTCAGTTTTCAAATGGAAGCCATTTTTTACCTTCTTTTTCTTTTGTTAGGGGACCAGCTTGACCTTTGTCAGAGCTATACTCCCTTTTGTTTTCTTACTTGCTAGTTACAGCTCTAGCCTATAAATTCATGCTGAAAGCCTCCCTTTTAATTTCCATTTTCAGTGACGTGAGAGCCAGCACTAGCTGGTGACAGCGGTACAGACCACCTCTCAGCACACTAGGAGACCATTAAATCCCAGGGTTTCCCAATGGTTTTGCTGCGGAATCTTATCCTAACTCTCAGAGAAAAGCTCGGCTTTTAAGCTTTCAGAATAAAATTACTAAAAAGACAATTTAAATTTTTAGAATTCTTTAAAACAGGAGCTCAGTTTAAGCCTAACTTAAGGCTTTTCTTTAGCTAGACATTAGTAAAATGACAATGATTCCAAGTAATAAGCAGTGAAATTTACAGTTTTGCTTTGCTTTTTGACTCCTATTGATGTTCATAACCAATTAGAACAAGCAAACTAACTTGTGCTCCCTTTAGACCAGTCATTCTTCATAACTGATATTTATCAGAATCCCTTGGGGGTGATTTTCTAAAATACACACACCTGGTACCTATCCCAGATCTCTGGAGTCAGATTCTCCAGGGTGAGGCTCACCACCAATATCTGAAAACATTCCTGAGAGATGTTTACATACACACTGGGTAATCACTGCTCCATACAACAGCCACTACATTTGAGGGTAACTTACTTGTTACAATTCCAGCCAAAGCAAAAACAAACTGATTCTCATTAGAATCAAGCTCTTTGACATCCCCATCCAGTGACTTCACAAAACTCTCCATCGTTTGGCCAGTGATGTTGAAAAACTTCAAAGCTTTATCCTGAAAGTTTGAAAATGGAAGTGTCACAACTTTTCACAGGTACAGTGTAGAAGTGTTTTAAAAGTACAGGATACAGAAGAAAGACTCTGGTTTTGAGCCGGGGATTTAGCTCAGTGGTTCCGGCGCCTGCCTCACAAGCGCAAGGTCCTGAGTTTGATCCCCAGTACAAAAAAAAAAAAAAGACTCTGGTTTTGATTATAAAAGGAATACTTAAAAATCTATTTCTCCATACAAGTTCCCATTGAGAGATCAGAGAAAATAGCTTGGGGCACATAGGAACAAGAGAAACTACCCTCGGAATGGATATACTCATGTCTGTCTGGTCTGTCCACATATGTAATAAAAGAGGACAGATTTATACAATGATGGAAGTACTGGGATACACTAACATAAAAATATAATAGAAATACACTAGAAAATACAAGTTATATGTTTTAGAGATTTTCAAACCTTTAGCAGATCTTGTTCAAGAAAATCTTAACTGAAACCACAACATGTGAAAGAGACACCGTAAATAGGCTCCTCTGGCAGTTTAAATCCTCATTATTTGGCAAAAACTTTCCACATTTGCAGAACCTCTGTGTAACTTACTTGAGGGTATTAGGGTTCTGAAGAGAACTGTAAAACCAAGGCCTATTTTAGGAAAGAAAGAGAGAGAGAGAGAGAGGGAGGAAAGGAAAGGAAAGAAAGGAAGGAAAGAAAGGAAAGAAAAGAAAGAAAAGCAAGCAAGCAAGCACACACTTAGAAAAGGCAGAAGGGCACTTCCTGATAACAGAAATAGAAGACTGGGTTGTAGTGATGGTTTCACAACCCTAGAAATTTGCTAAAAACCACTGAATTGTACTTACAGTGGGTGAACTCTACAGGACGGAAATTATACCTCAGTAAAGCTCAGAGTCTTTAAAAATACACTTAGACCTCTCACCTAAAGTCAAACACAACTATTCTATAAGTGAGAAGAAATCCACCACCTGTTTCCTGCCAACATCTGCCTCCTCACATCCACTCCCTCCACGCCCACCTCTCTCCCAGGGTCAAACCGGTCTGGGGCTCCTCTCTCTCCTCAGCAGTCAGCCCCACCCATCACCACATCTGCCTCGGCTGCCTGGGCGTCACATGTGCCCTTCTTTCCTGTCTCCCCTCCAGGGCGCTGAGCCGGTCTTCCTGTCCAGTCACAATAGCCTCACCCCCACATTCTGATCTTGCCTCACTCACTGTCAGGTGAATCCTCCAAAATTCTGCTCTTATCCTGTTCATCAAGGCCCATTTCAAATCCCTTCCCTTCTGGGACGTTCCCCAATACATAAATACATGTATGCACATGCACAACGGTTAAAGAACATACAGCACCCAAAAAATTAAGTACTGTATTACATTAGCCATGAGATTGAAGCATGTTAAACTCTTTGCATACATGAGTTTGGTAATACCGAAGTGGTGACAGATCTGCAAATACCTGTGGGTGCTGGAAGACAAAGGACCTACTGCATCCCCAAGCACCAGGTTACAGAGGGCCATGCACGGTAGGTGTCTGCTGACAGACAGTCTGAGGAATGAACTAAAGCAAACGGATACCAAGACATGGACTCAGACTGAAGCCTTAGCAGACATGCTGCAGCGCCAAGCTACGTCGGTCGGCAGCATCCGGAGAGCTGCTGGGCATGCTTACTCCTCCCAGGATGGCTTTGACGACCTCCTCACTGCTGGTGACGCCCCACAGCAGGGTGCAGGTGGCTGCTCCCATTTCTGTACAGTATTCTGCCTGCTGCAAGAGCTGCTGCTTTGCTTCATTAAGCTGCTGTCGAAGGGCCAGTTTCTCCTAAATTCACAACAAAATAAAATCAGAGAAAGATACTACTGGACCTTTAGATATCTCTATTACATCTCCCCTTTCACTGAGATATTTAAAAAAAGATGCATGCAGAATTGTAGCTGCAAAAATACAGAAATGTAGATGCAAAAGAAAGCCATTTCTTAGAGCGCCATAATCCATATCTAAAAAGTAGACCCCAGAGTCCTGGAGAAGAAGATACAGCTACATTATGGCTTACAGATAACTCCAAAGATCTGAATCCATCCAATTTAAAGTCAAAACAGGAGGCATCTCAAGTGCCAAGTGGCCACCCCTGGAAAAGCACCAACAGGGACTCCTGAGCAAAGCAGCAAATAAAAACACAATCCACACACAGGACAGCATTTCTGCTTCTGCATGGCTCCCCCCATTATCCAAACACCATGGGTTGGAGGCAGACACAGAATAAAGGCACCCAGACTCCCCACAGGATCTGAGAGAAAGAAGTGCCGTACAAAGACTTCTTTTAGATAAACAAACCCTCAAATCCGCATGAGAATATGGTCAAAAGTGTGGATAAATATTAAATATGCACCTGCAAAGCTAAACAAGGCATGAGACTCAGAACTAAGACCAGGGAGGAAAGCTAAGTGCAAGGGCAAGAGGAATGTGGAGGTGGAGTCCCATGCAAACCCTGGCACAGTGTAAGGTTCTCACCTCCTCCTGCAGCCTCTGAGAACACCTGAAGCTAGGCAAGTCTCTGCCAGCTTCTCTTTAAGCAGAAAGACAAGGAGCTGCCCTCCTGACAGCCTCTGATCATGAGAGCACACCTCAAGGATTTACCTTTAGGGGGCCTGGGGGTGAGGGGGGCCTCCTAACTTCCCCAACTAGTACTGAAGTACCTGAAATGCCCTTGGAAGAAGACAGCATTTCCTGTAAATCTCAATAGGTTTTTTTGTACAAAGTGATAATGTAACTATAAAATTCATACAGAAATGCAAAATATTCAAAATATCCAAAAAAGTCTGAAAAGTAGCAATGCTTGAGGGCCAGCACTGCCTTATTAACACAAAATGAAACATATTATAAAGCTATAGAATGCAAACCAGTGTGGTACTGGCATTAGGACAGATGTGTAAATAAGTGAATCACTTGAGTTTTTTCTTCCTTTTCTTTTTGGTATGGGGGTTGAATCCAAGGCATTTGCACTGGGCTTCATCCTCAGCCCTTTTAAAAATGTTTTTAATTTTGGAGACAGGTTCTCACTAAGTTGCTGAGTTGCCCAGGCTGGGGTCAAACTTGCAATTCTCCTCAGCCTTCCAGAGTGCTGTGATTACAAGTGTGTACCATCAAGCCTGGCTCAAACACTAACATTTATGTCAAGTAATTTTTAACAAAAGTCCCAGGGTAATTCAATGGAAAAACATTAGTCTTCAAACAACTTCTGCAAAAACTATATATTTATATGCAAAAAAATTAACTAAAATTGAATCATACACTTTAACATAAAACTTTTCAAAGGAAATCTTTGTGACCACGGATTAGGCAAAGATTTCTTAGACGTATCACAACAAAATCATGACCCATTTAAAAAGTTAATAAATTGAACTTCACCAAAAGTCAAACATTGACTATTCAAAAGACATCACTGAAAAAATTAAAAGACAAGCCACACACTAAGAGTAACTATTTCTAATCACATATGGTCTGTCCTACATATCTGCATGTTCCAAATCACTGATTCAACAAAGATTGAAAATATTCAGGAAAAAAATTCTATCTGCACTAAATATATAGATACTTTTTTGTCTTGTCAAATAGTCCCAAACAATACAATGTAATAACCCCTTCTGCAACACTTACATTGTATTATGTATTATACACAATCTAGAAATTATACACACTGAGGGGTGACTATATCTTTAAGAGGACTTTTCCCCCAGATCATATAAAGAACTTAAAATTCAATAAAACAACTGATTGAAAACAGGACAAATGCCTGAATAGGTATTCTACTAAAGAAAATGTAAGAAGAAATAATATATACATGAAGAGATGCTCAACATAATAATTAGTCACGGGGAAAATCTACCCAAATAGTTTAATCTAAGGTGGGACCCTCATACACTGCTGGGTGGAATGGGGAATGTCACACTGTCTTTGAAAAACAATTTGACAGTTTCTCAGAAAGCAAACTACACTGAAAACCCAGCAATTTCATTCCTAGAAATCACCCTAAGAAGAATGAAAACAAGTCCACACAAACATTTGTACATGAATGTTCAAGTGGCACTGTTCAAACACTGAAAATATTCTAAATGTCCAACAACCAGGGAATGGATAAAGTGTGATTTATCTGTATGATGGGATATTATTTTGACATAAAAATGAACAACTGATATTTACTATACCATAATGAACCTTTAAAATACTATGCTAGCTGGGCATGGTGGCACACACCTATAATCCCAGCACTTGAGAGGCTGAGGCAGAAGGACTGTGAGTTTAAGGCCATCCTGGGCTACATAGTGAGTTCAAGGCCAACCCGGACTATATAGCAAGATTCTGTCTCAAAAACAAGCAAACTAACAAAAATTATGCTAGACACAAAAGACTACATGTTGCATGATTCTGTTTCTACAAAATATTCCAAAAAGGCGAATCTAAAGAGACAAAAAGTAGATCAGTGGTTGCCTAGGGCTGAGAAATAGAGCAGAGACTAACTACAAAGAGATATGTTACAGAAATATTTTAAAACCTAATTGGACAAAATCCAACACCCACTCACTGTGATCATTAACTGTGATGTATCAACTCGAGTAAGAACAGCCTATAGATTATAGTAAATTCTGGGTGTGTTTTTGAGTGCCTGAAATGTAGGCCAGTAAGCTGAGGACGGGTGGTTAGATCCACCCTGGGTGTGAGCAGCACCAATAAACAGGCTTATAGCTTGGACAGAACAAAAGGGAAAGAAAAAAGAAGTGTCGTTTTTTTGAAGGAACTCTTCTCTGCCACTGCCTTTGGACACTGGTCTCCAGTTCCTTTACCCTTCCTTCCAGCATAGTCTTCAGCCTTCCAATGCAGGCTCTTTGTCTTTCTAGCACAGACTCACACTGGAGACTCTACAGAGAGCTTCCAGGTTGCTCCTCAATTGCTACAGGATCTTCCAGCTCTCTAGTGAGCAGACAACCATTTTGAATTCTGGCGTCTCTGATCTGGCAGACAGTCACTGGGACTGTTCTGTCTCTAATCCTGCAAGCTATCTAATAAATCCCTAATCTGTTCCTCTACAGAACCTAACTAATATAGATTTTTGTACCAGGAGTGGGGTTGTTGCTGTGACTTCTTGACCATATGGTTCAGAAGCCTTTGTAACTGGTTTGTGGGAGGAGTTTGGAAAGTCTTGGAGATGCTAGATAGAGAGAAGCCCTAGAATGGTGTCAGTTGAGCTTGATGGGAGATTTTGATCAGGGCCACAAAGACCAGAATACAGATAGTAAAGACCAGGACCAGGAGGTTTATGTTGGGAGCAAGGACTCAGCTGGCAGGTGAACTCAAGACCATGTGTGTTAGCTCTGGCAGAAAAATCTGCCTACATTTGGCTTATGTCCTGAGACTTTGCAGGAGACTAGGATTAAGGGCAGCAAATTAATCTGGTAGAGAAAACTTCAAGGCACCTTGGATATTCAGGCTGTGGCATGGGTAATAGTTGCTCCTTTTAGCAAGCTCTGCTGTGAGAATCAGGAGCAAAAAAGCTCTAAAAAGTTTTTAGTTTTGTCAGAAAAGAAGTGCCTGCAAAGTCAGAGCAAAGAAGAACACTGTTAAGATTTTTAAAATTTTTATTATTAGTAGTACGTCTGCAGTATCTTTTGATTGTATTCATCATGAGGCGTTGGTACATGTATATAACACATTTGAATTCTTTTTATGTCTCCTCCCTGTTGCTGAAAGATTAGCATTAATAAAAGTCAAGAATTGCATGGAGGGCTGGGAATTTACCTCAGTGGTGCCATGCCTGCCTTGAAAGCTCAAGGTCCTGAGTTCAATCCCTGGTACAGGAAAGAAAAAAGAAAATAAGGAAAAAAAAAAGCCAAGATGTAGGTCAGTGGCACTCACTGCACCTGCCTGGAAAGCGCAAGATCCTGAGTTCAATCCCCAGTACCAAGAAGAAAAAAAAAAAAAAAGAACTGCATGGAGACAATAGGAAAGATGGTGTGAGGGCATCTCAGGAATCAGCATGACTGCCTTTTGTAAGGTGAAGGGTGCAAGTGAAAGTCTGCTTTGAGAAGAGAGCACCAGGGCACCCTGCTCCACAAAGGCTGCCTAGGAAATTGCTTCCCCATGATTCATTTCACAGTGCTCAGCCACTGAGGCACTCAGAGGCCTCTTCAGCCATGATCCAAGGGGATCTGGCTACTGCTCAAGCTGGTGGCAGGCCTTGGTGTCATCCACAAGGCACTACTTTTATAGGCATGCAGAATGCAAGAGTGGAATCAAGAAGGATTCCAACCAGATTTCAGAAGAAGGCCTAGGAGGCCAGGAAGTGTGGCCCTGAGAAGACAGTGTGTAACGTTGTGACACTGAAGCCAAAGGTGCAGTGGAGACCCCAGGAAGTTGGAGGTGCCAGGAATGTAGAATATCTGCTAAAGAAAGCAGCAGGCAGTGAGCAAAGCCATCCTATGAGAGAGGCCATAAGAGCTACAACCAGAATGCCACAGGTGTGGGGCTGCCCAAGTTGTCTGGAGTACATATCTTGCCACAACTTGCCCAGGGTGCTGGACACAGAACTACAGGATTTAATGTCTGCCTGCTTTTCTATACCCCTTTCTCCCATTTGGAATGGGAATGTTTACCCTGTGCCCACTGTATATCCACAGTGTTTAACTTTTTGATTTTTATACAAGCCACAGCTAAGAGTTTGCCTTGAGTCTTAGAGGATATTTTGGACTTGAGTTTTGTAGTAATGCTGGAACTGTTTAAACTCTGGTAACTCTTAGAGATGAACTAAATGCATTTTGTATAAAGAG